TAACTACTCAGCCCTGGCTGGCCTTGAAGTCCTGTTCCATCTCCTCCACCTCCCAAACGCTGTAACTATGGTGAGCCCCACCACTTGCTGTTTCAGAGCAAGCGTTATTCTTCTAGGGGTCCTCCATGTTTGCCAAAGGCAACCACAAACCACTCAGCGGTCACTCCCCTTCTGCCGACAACGGAAATTATTTTCTGGAATCCTATTCTTGAAGGCAACTCTCAGGCCTGCTGGTTTTCCCCATACTGCCAAATGTCTTCCAAAGTAATCAGTTTTCAGAGGTGAGACCATCTGTCAACACCTGATGGGTGGCATAGCTGAGTCTGGTGAGAAATGATCTCAAGTATTAAAAATTCAAGTGTTCCTCCCCTCCAAGCCTCAAGCAAGTGCTGGTGATCTGCCCGAGGTCATTTGACTTTGGCCAGGTTCTCTGCACATTGAGTACTCTTGTGATCACCCTTATACGTCACCATATAAAAATGTTGGTTGCATGCCACGTAGTTATTTCACAAGGTGGTGCTTGTATACTCTGCCTAATAACTTGGATCTATTCATCAAGTCTCCCGGGAATGACTAGTTAGCAGTTTACCAGTTACTGAGTACATCACAGTAGCTGCTATGATTTTGCCTCCTCGTACCTTTTAGATTAATCTCTTCTTTTTCATTGGATGTGTTGCCCCTTTCTTGGTTCGAGTTTACCACGGTTTTATTGTCGGGTGGTTTTCTCCTTAAAGTCAGCATTATTTTTGCTTTTTGGTGTGTGATATAGCTTATGGATATAGCACTAGTTTCAAATGACCACAAAATCTGTATTGGCTCATGTTGCTGACTTAGAAGAAAATTGTTTCCTATCTTCTTTGAATCTATTAATGTCTCGGTACTCTCGGTAATCTTTCAGAATCATGTCAGTCCGACAGGCTAATAACAAGCAGGCTCGGGCCATCTGCATCGTGCGTCTCCGAGAAAAGGGCTGTTAAGTGACATGAAATTTCATTTTGCCACAACATCATCTGGCAATACACAAGCCAGCAGCCTCCACTTCTAGGTTAATATGTTTTTATTTAATCAGCCTGGAATCATCTTGAGGCTAACTACATTGTGTGGTAGCCAATGGTCTTCTGGATGTCTGTCTTAGGATTAAGTTAGAGTACGAATGGTAATAATTCAAGGTGGTAATGACATAAATAAGTCAGATTTTATTTCTCTTATGTCAACATAGGGCAATGGCTGGAAGGGCTGGATCTTCACTATCTTAACTACCAGGGATTGTGGGACCTAGCAAATGAACTTGAGCAGTCAGGCTTGGTTGACAGCGAGTGCCTTTACGTGCTTGCTGAGCTGGCTCTTCAGCATCCCCACCCCAGGTTCACTTTTAAGGGTACACTCTAAAGCATCGGGAGCAGGGCCATTAGTACAGATCTGTATGCCACATTCATAGCGCACATTTGCAATGGCTGAAAGACAAAGGAAGTGTGATCATTCATCAATAAATGAATAGTGACTGTGTTAAATGCGTACAAAAGAATCTTAGCTAATCTTAAAAAGAAGGAAATTCTGATACTCTCACTGTAGATGCACCAGAAGATATTACACAGTGATATGGTAGTCGTCATCAAAAGTGAACTAGTGCATAGTTTCACTGACGGGTGGGCCTGGAGGAGTCAGATGCACAGGGACAAGAAATGGGGTGGGTTTGTTGGGAGCCAAACAAAAGGATGGGAACTTTTGTTTAATGGTACAGGTTCCGTGAGGCACCAGGTTCTAGAGATGGATGGTGGCAATCATTGTACAGCAGCCACTGAGCCAGCCACATAATGAAAACTTGCATATATTCAATATATTTTACCAAAAAAATGTTTAAATATTTCAAAGTACGTCTTTTTATACATATGCTTTTATATAATTAGACCTGAAGACAATTATATTTCAAGGTATTTCTTCCCCTCCCCCCCAGAATATTGATCTTATTTTGAAATTCTTTTGTTTAAATGCTTTAAAAGACATGCTGAAGCCAGGCATGGGGGTGCACGCCTTTAATCCCAGCACTCGGAGGTAGAGGCAGGCAGATCAATGTGAGTTCCAGGTCAGCCTGGTCTACAAAGTGAGTACAGGACAGACAAGGCTACACAGAGAAACCCTTCCTCAAACAAAACAAAACAAAAAAAACAACAAACAAAAAGCAAGCAACCAACCAACCAAACACCCCTCAAACACATGCCAGTGTAGAGGGAATATGTGAACCTCACCCAAAGGTCATATCTTAATCTAGAAGGGAAACCTTTCATGATTAGACCACTGTCTAAATTATGAAGTGGTATTTGCATGTACTCTCCTTATTCCAATGATTTGAAACTATACACTTCTGTGAACTGGCCTAAGGTGGCAGGCTTTGAGAGCCCGCTGGCCCAAGCTCACCAAAGCAGGCAGCATTGTCCAAACCTGAGCTTAGCCAACTTTTCCTCTAGTGGGAAGTCCGGTCTTTCGAGCAATGAACCTTTAAGTGGTTCTTAAGTCAGGTGGTTCTTTTAAAAGTCACTTAATGTACTTATTTTAGGTACTTAATTACATCATCGGGTGGCTTTGTGCTATTACGCAAACATAAGATACCATGCTTACACAAACTAGATGAAATGGTTTCTTGTACCCCAGCTGCAGACCCTACTGAACCCTGCTGGCACCTGGAACAGGAAGCAAAGTGCTTGCACATCTAAACTTAGAAAAAAGTAGAGTAAAAATGGGGTGACTAGGAGCAAACAGCTGTATTGTGATCTCACAGGCCATCACACATGTGGCCTAGCATTGAAAAAATTTCACTTTGAAAACATGAATACACTTTAGACTTCGTGGGCTACATTACACCTGCTGAATAATTTTCCTTTGGTTTTTGTTTTTCTTAAACATCTGCACACAAATGTGGAAGCCTCATTTAGTGTTGTGGTGGTGTATTAAAAAAAGAAAAAGGGCTGTGATAGTCTTTGTAGTCAGAATTGGGCCAGAAGTTGTAATGTGCTCACTCTCTTAGAAATCAGGGCCTCTCTGCCAGTCCCTGAGCTGTGAGTTTGTTTGAGTTGGCTCCTAGGTAGATGTGGACATCTGATGAAGATCCTTGTAAGCTTTAAGTACCTCATCACTTCTGTCTAGACCCAGTGAAGCTGAGTGAAGCCTATTCAGGTGTTTTCAGTAGCTGACAAGCTAGATTCAGGAGCAAATGAATCCAAGAGAAACTGAGCCTGGCTCCGAGGCAAGAGCCAGGACAAGTCCTTCTCCCTTAGAATGGCTTCCGTTCCAGCCCCGGAAGAAACATACAAGTGTTTTTCTTTTTTTTTTTTTCTTATGAAAATTTATGTCTCTTGTAACCAGAAAAAAAATTATTTTTTTGTTGTCTCCTACAAACATGTCTTCTTTGAAAGACAAACCAATAGCACCTGGAGAAGCTTACCAGGAGCCAGCTCCCAGCGGCTGAGGAATCCTGCGCTCAAGGCGTTTCCCCAGAGTTGCGCCTGCTGGAGATGGCCCACGCCCTGCGGCCTAGGCTCCATGGCAGACCTGGTGTGCTGCTCAAACCCAGTTCTGCCATGCATGCAGGGGTCACCTCAGGCAAATGATTACTTCTCAGTGCCTGTTTTCATCCTCCATGGTCTGGGGATAATTATTTAATCCTTACAGGGTTTTGTGGGATTTAATAAATGAATAAATGTAGGATGGGCCATGTTCCAAATGCTGAATGTTTCTGCTACAGTGACAGCTCTACTGAGGCAGCTCTATTAGTAAGAAACAGAACCACCAAAAAGTCTGGGCACAGGGGTCTTTTCTGAGACCTATACTCCAACCAAGGACCATGCATGGAGATAACCTAGAACCCCTGCTCAGATGTAGCCCATGACAATTCAGTGTCCAAGTGGGTTTTATAGTAATGGGGACAGGGACTGTCTCTGACATGAACTGATTGTCCTGCTCTTTGATCACCTCCCCCCGAATGGGGAGTTAGCCTTACCAGGCCACAGAAAAAGACAATGGAGCCACTCCTGATAAGACCTGATAGACTAGGATCAGAAGGAAGGAGAGGAAGACCTCCCCTATCAGTGGACTTGGAGTAACATTGGTGGAAAAGAGGAAGGAAGGGTGGGATTGTGAGGGGGGGAGTGAGGGAGCTACAGGGGGGATACAAAGTGAATAAAGTGTAATTAATAAAAATAAAAATAAAAGGAAGCAGAAAAAGAAAAGAAAGAGAACCATTCTAGAGCTCTATCAAGAGAGACTATGTAATGAATTGTGATTTGAGCATAGTATGGAGTCCTAAATAGAACAGGTGTGTGAGTGATCCGCAGGGATGAGCAAGTAGAAACCTTAGAAACGATGTAAAGACAGAAACCCATGTGATGTGAACCTTTGCTTTCAATACAAGCGAGATGAAATTGCTGGCTCAGAGACACACAGACAGTAAAGGACAAAGAAGATCAAAGAAATGGGGGCGCATGCCCAGGTGAGGGCTGTGTGTGTGTATGTGTGTGTCAGGATAGCAGGTAGGGAGATGGAACTGGGAAAAAAACTTCAGAACTCGTATAAAGATCTTATACTTAATAAAGAGACCAAGCATGGTGGCACTGGTCTACACAGCACATTTCAGGCTAACCGGGATTATGGAGACCCTGGCTCAAAAATAAAAACCAAGTCAAGCAGACAAACAAAAAATAAAAACTAAACTTAGTAAATTGGGTGGAAGTTCATGGAAGAATGGGGGCTGGAGGAGATGGTTCAACTGTCAAGAGTGCTGGCTGCTCTTCCAGAGGGTCTGGGTTCGAGTCTCAGCACCCACACGCAGGCTCCCACTACCTGTAACATCGGTTCTAGGGGACCCGGTGTCCTCTTCTGGCTTCCTCAGGCATCAGGCAAAACACCCAAAGATGTAAAATGAAACAAAATAAAAAAGAAGAGCGAAAATAACACAGGAGATCATCAGTTTGATTTCCCCAAGTTTCTATTAGAGTTGCACTCGGGGCTTAGGAATGGACAAATCTGTGGACCGCTTCAGTTCCAAAAGTCACTGCAAACTTAGCCAGCCTCTTGGGTAGCAGCTGATACACTGCCTTCTGGATGTCTGCGGGGGTGAGGGTACAGCGCTCACCCCGGCACATCAGCTCACAGGCTTCCTTAGCAATGCGCTCGAAGATGTCGTTGATCAGGATGTTAATGATGTCTTTGGTGTGAGAAGATATGCCTCTCCTCGGGACAACTTCCTTCCGGATCCTGCTTATGTAGCGAGAGTAATTTCTATGGCCAAGGTCCATGCTAGAGTATTGTGACAGCTTTTTGGAGATTGGTTTTAGATGACTTCTGATGCACTGACATCTTTTGATGGACTTGACCATTGTGGATGTTGTCCTCCTTGTCAGGAACGGAGAGGGGGAAGGCCGGAG